TTTCTTTTAATCATAATTTTTTTTTTTTTATTATTTTTTTTTTAATAGGTTGAAAAAAATACTATAGCAACCTAATACAGGTAAAAACATCTGCACAGGCTGGACTTAAGTTGGTACTCCTGTCCTAAATGTAAAAATAAAAGGAACACTCTCCTTTTCTAGTTTAGTGACCACTCCCCCTGTTTGTCATTAAAAAAATAAATAAACGTTTAGCACCTTTTGCTAGTGCAACGGCTTCTTCGGCTCTGGCCTTTTTCTCATGGAGAGCATTGGGGACCTGATGTGCATGCGTGGCAAAGGACAAGTGCGCATTCAAGTTTCTCTATAGGAAAGCATTAAATTCAATGCTTTCCCATGTTTCGCAACACGTGACCGAGTTTTATTCAGTCTGTGCAATGAAAGCGCCTTTGGTGGTCATCAGGATCGACTAGATCAGGGGTAGGCAGCTTTCAGAACTCCAAATGTCGGGGACTACATCTCCTGTGATGCTTTGCCTGCATTATGGCTGGAAGAGCATTATGGGAGATGTAGTCCACAACATCATCTGGAGTGCTGAAGGTTGCCTAGCCATGCATTAGATCCATGGAAAGATCAGTGCACCCAGACCACTATACTGAAACCACTTTAGTGGTCCTATAACTAAGATAAGCTACAAGTAAAACACACTACTTAAATACACACATCCCTTGAGTAATCATTTCAAGAAACCAGTGAATACAAATATGCATAAACCAAACCAGAAAAGAAAGGAATATAGAAAAACAATTAAAACTAATATAATTCTGAGGACTTAAAGTCCCATCCACCTACCCTAAAATGGACTGTCTTCATCTGGATAACCATTACAAAGTTCCTCACGAGGTCTTTCCCTAGAATTATTCTAATTAGCTTTTTTTGCAACTTTATATTTAGTAAGGTGCTATATAAAGTGACTCTGTGTGATGAAAATAAATGAATCTATGGTCAACACTGCAGTCACAATGAACCATAGTGTCCCTCAGCACTGCTATACTTCAAGTGTTGAAACTGCTTATATAAAGTGTTTATTGCAGCTATTGCTGCCCAGTCGCCAATTCAATAAAAGGGGACTCCATGCCCCTCGGTGGGGCACCTACTGATATAATTAAGTGTGGATGACACAGTGTTACCCTGTGTGTGTGGGATATTAAAACGAACAGGGTTACATTGGTGACAGGTGCAGGTCCTAAATAACAAGGGGTGGGTGGACCTGCTGCCACACCCCAGCCCCACCCATTGACAGCGGGTGGAAGTCCTTAATAACAAGGAGCGCACACCTTATGTCCCACCCCAACCAATTGGTGGGTGGGGGCCCTAAATAATAAGTGGATGAACCCATTGTCCCTTCCCAGCCCTCATCCATTGGCCACCGTCAATGAGTGGGATATAGATAGGAAAATTGGTCCATCTCCTTATCATGTGGGAGCCCTAAATAATAAGGGCCAATCATAGTGCTGACCGGTAAGCCAACCAATCAGCTCTCTGAGTCAAATTGCATGGCGTGGGGAAGCTTTTAATACATACCCCACCCTGCAAGCTCAGATTGCGGTCGCAGCCTGATCGGAATTTCATTAATCAATTTCATAAATGAAATGAAATTCTATTTAATTTTCAAATTAAAGTTAATTTGTCTGAAAACAAATGAACAAACTGACAAAATTCAGTTCGGATGAAACAAGTGTTTTTTTTAAATTTATTTTTTGGTCCTAATGTGATCAGAGAAAATGAAAATTTCGTAAGCGCCCAAGTCTAGTGGCTATTGAGAATTGATTTCAGAATCACTGCCTTAGCCATCATGTGTTCTCCACAGAAAGTGAGGAAACTAAAAATAATAAATGTATAAATCCAACACAGAAACAACAATTTACTGTAATGAGCTTACTTATGAAAGCATCACATACATACGTCACATTGTTACAGAGGGAATTATTGTGTCTGGTTGTGTCTTTTCCCAAGCTGTTAAATAGTGGTTGTGTTTTCATTGCAAAATCTGACCTACAATAATTTTAATTCCCATAGATGGACCCGAGGGTCGAACTACACATGAACAATTTGACAACCAGTTTGCTTCTCGGAATTGTGCCACTGAAAACACTGACAATATCAGAAGTAATCAGGGAACAAAATATGTGATAAGTTGTTCACGGCAGCAAGAAAGGACAAATTTGATGAGCAGAGCAGAAGAATTGGTCTCAGATGAAAATGGAAATCTTCCAGATACAGATATTTATATAACTATAGAACATTCACAGACAGAATCTACATCTATACCAATGTTAATGAAATCTGCCTCATGTGAGGAAGGAAATCTCACTGATAATTATATTCGTATTACCACAGCCATGCAGGCACAGTCTATGAATACACCTGATAAAGGGGAAATTGCTTCATATGGAGAAATAAATCTCACAGGCATGTATATATCTACAGAACATCCACAGGCAGAAAACACATGTCATATTAAGGAGGAAGCCGTCTCATGTGAAGAAGGAAATCTCACAGACTCTGATTGTTATGTGCCCACAGAAAATGCAGAGATGGATTATACACCTACTCATAGTTTGTTGGAAGATGAAGGAAATCTCATGGACATTTGTACACCCACAGAATATAAATCTACTCAGATTAAGGTGGAACCAATCTCCAGTGAAGGACATTTAACTAACATTTATACAACCACAGAACATACATCTACTTTGATTAAAGAGGAACCAGCTTCATCTGAAGAAGATAATTTCACAGATACCCAGGAAGAATATCGAGTTGAAGAGAATGAATGCAATGGAAGTAACAATATTGTTTTGGTAACAGAAGAGAATGATCATGGTAAAAACATCAACAATTTAACAGATTTTGAAGATTCTACGCAACCCCACAGCATGTTGAGAATGTTTAACTGCACAGCATGTCAGAAATGTTTTACCAGTAGCTCTGAATTTGTAAAACATCTGAACACTCATAGAGTAAAAAGGCTGCCGTGTTCTTATTGTAATAAATACTTTGATTGTAATTCAAGCCTTGTGCGGCATATGACAGTCCACACAGGAGAGAAACCATTTCAATGTTCTGAATGTGGTAAAAGTTTTACTCAAAATGCATGTCTTGTTAGGCATAAAAATATTCACACACAAGAAAAACACAAATTGATGCACACACAAGCAAAGCCATTTTCATGTTCTAAATGTGGGAAATGTTTTGCCCAACGCCCCCATCTTGTTCAGCATCAGAGGATTCACACAGGAGAGAAACCATTCTCTTGTACTGAATGTGGGAAATGTTTCACCAGTAAGTCAACTCTGCTTACACATAAAATGGTTCACACAGGAGAAAAGCCGTTCTCATGTTCTGTGTGTGGTAAATGTTTTTCTAGACGTTCCAGCCTCGTTGAACATCAAAGGATTCATACTGGAGAGAAACCTTTTTCCTGTTCTGTATGTGGGAAATGTTATTCTCATAAATCAGATTTAGTTGTACACAGTAGGAGTCACACAGGAGAGAAACCTTTCTCATGTTCTGAATGTGGGAAAACATTTGACACCCGATCCTATTTTGCTACGCATCAAAGGATTCACACAGGAGAGAAACCATATTGTTGCGCAGAATGTGGAAAATGTTTTACTGCAAAATCGACTCTTGCCATGCATCGAAGGGTTCATACAGGAGAGAAGCCATTCTCCTGTTCTGAATGCGGGAAATGTTTTAGTTCTCGCTCATATCTAAAGACACACCAGAATAGTCACAGTAATACAAGTACACTGTAATGTTTTGTATATTCAAACTATTTTACTGCTAAATTAATTAATAAATGATTTTGCATATGGGAGAAAAGTCCTCTTCATTCTCGAGATACACAATCCAATGAGCTGATTTGAAAGATGTTTCATGATTAATATTACCAGCAATACAGTAGCGTTTTGTCATGTTTTAATTTTTTTTTTTAATTGCAGCTTCTTTTTTGTCCTTGAGCAAGGGGTTCCTGATCAGAGTGCCCTGTATTTATGGTAATTCAAGTTTTTACATTTGTATTATTGACAAATGTAAACTGCTATTGAGAAGTTGTAAGAGAGATTACATATCTCCTGAAGGTGTTGTTGTTCGTAGTGGTGGAATGTTCTGTACATCATACAGGTAGGTGGCTGGAGGGAGTTTGAATGTAGAACAAAAGTTGTCTACCTACCAATGAAAGAAGACTTGCATTGCATAATGCAGTTGCTTGTTCAGGAAATAAATGAAAGAACCAGAAGTAGAATCACTACCCAGCTCTGTACTTTATTTTCTTGTATATTTTATGTGCAATTGGAAATAGTCAATCAGAAACAGTCCATACAAAACATGCACCAGGGACACCGATGTGGAAACCGAACTAAAGGGATATAATTTGTGGGAAGTAATCCTGCCCCGCATGCAGCCAACCCCGGGATTTGCTGCCCAGCGACAGGTGAATTAGGCTTTCTAACAAGCAGGCTGGCATATTGAGCTTAGGTGAGAACAAAGAAATAATGCCATCTTTCCTTTCTACGGGAGACCATCTTGGTCTGGCCAAAAGAAGGCACAGCCATTTGCACTGGTCTAAAATCGTCTGTTTTATCACCTCCAAGTTCAGACCTTTCCCAGCACATGACCAACATCTACTAAGGAGAGGCTGAATCAGGTAGCATGTGGCTTCCGACATTAACCATGGATAAATAGCTACCCATGGATGGTGCTGGAAAGCCTTCAACAAATCAATGAGCTAGAGCCTACTAGCGTGCTGAACCTCAAACTTCTCACATTCTTTGGTCAGCAGATATATCGTCACATGCCAGGTCATTATTATCACGTCAGCTCATTAATCCAGTAACAGCAGGTGGAGATGTAGCTTAAGAGAAATAAGCTCCCCTCCAGCCTTTCAACTGTTGATTAGTTGTCCAATTTCTTGAGCCCAAGATCAGCCTGTGAAGAGAGCTAATAGTTGAAGACAGACCCAGGTTTGCAAGGACCAGTTCATTTAAACCTTATCTAAGGCTAAACAGCAGCACAAAACCCTATCCCTGTAAGTCTATACTTGGTACTTGGCCATAGCTGGGAGACAATAGTCCCAGGTAGGGGCTGAATGAAGCAGTGAATGTAGATGGTTTTCCCCGCACATTAGCCGCGACAGAATGTAGGGGAATAGAAAGCAGCTGTATTGAACACAGCTTTTTATGTACAGAAATGTAGATTTACACACAAGGGGGTTCTACGTGCAATGCCATGTCTCTTACCATAGTTCCAGCCCGGGGCCACTCTGTCTGGGGTCTGAATTGCATCATCCCCAGCTAACCAGATAGACTTCCTGCTGTGTCTTCCCAGACCAAGAGTACAGTATGTACAAAATGTCCTCTTTTTGTAATTTCTGTCCATGTGGGGATAGGGATCCGTGACAGAGACCTTAAATAAATAAATGAGGACTTGGTGATAATTATACACAACAGCTTAGGGAACAACATGCAGTGTCTGCCAATTGCTAATGCAAGTAGGGTAGTGCTATGTATCAAGAGTGTTAAATCAACCTTGAATATGGTGTGCAATTTTGGGCACTTGTTTCAAAGAAAACTATAATGAAACTAGAAAAAGTGCAGATGTGGGTTCATAATTTATAAAGGTGAAGTCATAGTTTAGTTATGAAGAAACGCTAGAATGTGTGTATTTTTTTTACTTTGACCAAAATAACATACAAATATATACAGGGCTGGTACAAACAGCTGTCTGATAACCTGTTCAATAATAGGAATGTACAAAGGACCTATTAAGACTGGAAGAAATGGTTATTCACAGTAAAAATGATACACATGTGAACTCTCTGCCTTAAAGATGTTCTACCAGAGTCTGTACTAGTAGATGAGTTGAGGTTTTGTTTTGTGGGGGTTTTTTTGAAACAAAATGTTAACATAATACTTGATACGTGAAATATCAGCTTGTTCATCCAAAGAGAAACCTGCCCCAAAGAAATTTACACCAACAAGAAAATAACATGTCATAGTAAGCATAGTCCAACAAGCAAGGTATCAGCTTCCTCAGATTAAAGCCTGAGGTGGCTTGCATAACCTGTTGTAACGAACTTGATAAAACTGCACAGCAACAGACCAAGCCTCTATTACAAACAGCAAGAGTGGAGACGGGAAGTGGAGGTAGTAAAAAACCTCTCCCTGGAGCTCCCTCTGCCATTAGGGAGATAGACCACCTGCATTCTCTCCCTGGAACTCACTCTGCTTGCTGGGGAGGGATGCCGGCTGCACCCTCTCCCTGAAATTTGCTCTGTTGCTGGGGAGAGTGGCTGACTATATTCTCTAACGCTGTTGTGCAGGATGTGAAAAGTGCTGCCCTTGGTGACCACTGTATTTGCGTGCCAGCATATGCCACACCCTGCAGAGCAGTTTTCATTTAAAGTTTCATCAATATGCATGACAATGCAGTGTTACAGACAATCAGCAATAATCTTTGCACAGAGCATAGTGAAACAAGAATGTACAGAAAACAATCACATAATAAACAGGAGTTGGATGGAAGTAAATATAAATAACCAAAGTTATGGCACTTGAATACATATCTCATGAAAAAGGTCTCTGGTCTCTCATTGAAAGAACATCTGTATGGCAGCGAGTGATCCCTCCTTAATGTTGACATCATGGAATCTGGATGTGTGGTCTAACTAGAATTTATATTCCCATTATGATGGTGGGCCTCTAGAATATGTTAATTCCTGTAATTTGGTCCTTTGCTGAATATAATCTAAACACTCTCAAATGTCTAATTTACTTCAATTCTATCTAAGCGGCTCAAATAAGTTGGTGCTGAGGGCTGTTTCAATTTTAGTGCTATAAGGTAATGTGCTGCTCGGAGTAGATACGCGGCCAAGCCGTTAGATTCAAAGAATATGGTGTCTGGCCACGGTAGCAGGAGGTTGGTGGAAGGACTAAAGAGCAGACATTGAATGAAAAGGGCATGATACAGGTCTTGAACTTGTTTCCAGAATGGGGAAATTTTAGAACAGGTCCACCATACATGTATAGTCATTCCCATCTGTGAGCCAGACCGGGCAAAACAAGGACACCAGGGATGCTGCCAGGTTTCACTTAGCACGGGGCATAAAATGAAATGCAATAGAAAAACAGGAAAAGAGGCCTCATGACCTATCACTGAAATAAATGTCAATGAATAATGCCTTTCCAGTTAAAGGGCTACTCCAACCACCATGGATAGCCCGAAAAAGTTATTTGTCTGCATTAATGTTCATCCATGTTGACCTTTTAGATCTCTGTTCTCTTCTTGAAAAAGGGCTGATAGGTGTGAAATAAAAGAAGGAAAATGAAAGTAATAACGGAGAGAGGGAAGTTGAGAAAGAAGAAAGTGAAGGAGGAGGACTCGTAATGCCACCAAAAAGACAGATTGTTACAGTTGGTGCTTGTCATGAAAATATAAAAAGACGAAAAGCCATAACATTAGAAACAAAATTGAACATCATAACAGACCATGATGCTGGAAATACCACTAAAGAATTAGCTACCAAATATTCTCTGAGTAAATAAACTATGAGTAAAACTTTGAAAGACAGAGAAAAATATTTAAAGGAAGTAAAATATGCGCAATCCCTGCATTCTACTTGGATACGAACCAAGGAAAATGAAAGCCTTATTCCTCATATGGAAAAACTTTTAACAGCATGGATAATGGATTAAACTGGACGGCTCCATATGCCGGTTACCTATGCTACCGTGTGTGCTAATGCTTTATCACTTTTTGAGATGCTGAAACAAAGAAAAGGAGACAGCGTTCAAAAAACATTTTCTTCAAGCAGTGGGTGGTTTGATCGTTACAAAAAAAGAGCTGGTTGGCATAACATAAAAATCATAAGAATCTGCAAGTGCTGATACAGAAGCGGCTAAATTATTTCCTGCTAAGTTGTTGGCAGAAATATTGAAAGAGGTAAATTACTCGCCATCACAGGTTTTCAATGTGGATGAAACCGGTCTCTTTTGGAAGCGCATGCCATCAAGAAGCTATGTTGCAAAAGAAGAATCATCAATGCCCGGTTGTAAACCAGCGAAAGATTGACTAACTTTATTGCTTGGTGGGAATGCAGGTGGAGACTGTAAATTAAAACCCATGATGGTGCATCGTGCAGAAAATCCTAGGGCACTTAAAAGAATTGTAAAAAGAACACAGCCAGTCATATGGAAAGCCAATAAAAAGGTTGGGTTACTGTTTCGCTGTTTGAAGATTGGTTCTCACATTATTTTGTACCTAAAGTGAAAAAATATTGTGAAGATAAATCAACACCTTTTCAAGTAAATCTGCTTGTAGATAATGCACCCGGTCATCCACCCTCTCTTCGTCACCACCACCCTAATGTCAAAATCATATTCTTGCCACCAAATACAACTTCTATTTTGCAACCAATGGACCAGGGTGTCATCCCCACATTTAAAGCACTGTACCTTCGGCAGACATTTGAAATGTTGATTAAAGCAACAGATAATGACACAGGTCCAAGTCTTAAAGATTTTTGGAGAAAGTCATTTAATATTTTAGATGTAATAAAAATTGCAGCATATGCCTGGAACAAAATTTCAGAGACAACCATGAAAGGTGTTTGGAAAAAGCTCTGCCCTCAGTTGTTTGGTACTAATGTTGAAGGATTTGAAGAACCAGCAGAAATTGTACAGCAAAACATAGAAGCAATAGTTACTCTTGCCAATAGATTGTACCTGGACATCTCTACAAGTGACATAAATTACCTTCTTGAAGCGCACAAGGAAGAACTATCAAATTAAGACCTCTTAGATATGGAAGAACAAAAGGAAGTTGAAGAGGTAGAAGATGTAACAGCACCTAAAAACTCCTGTTCATTCTTTCACTTTGAAAGGCCTCAAGGAAGTATTTCAACACATAGAAAAGGCAATTAATATTTTTGGGTCACAAGATTCTAACTTTGAGAGAAGTACCAAAGCATCTAATCAGCATCTTGATATGCCACACCTGTGAGGTGGATGCATTATCTCGGCAAAGGAGAAGTGCTCACTAACACAGATTTAGACAGATTTGTGAAAAATATTTGAGAGAAATAGGCCTTTTGTGTACATAGAAAAAGTCTTAGATCTTTGAGTTCAGCTAATAAAAAATGGGGGCAAAAACAAAAGTGTTGCGTTTATAATTTTGTTCAGTGTAAATAAAGAAAAATATATTATACTTTTAAAGGATATAAAAAATCTATTACAAGGGTGGCAAAATAAAATTATTTCATGGTCAGGACGAATATGCGCTATTAAAATGGTAATACTTCCAAAGTTTCAGTACCTTTTTAGGACTCTTCCGATTCAAATTAGATCCACCTATTTTAAAGAAGCTCAAAGATTATTAACAACTTTATATGGGCTGGTTCTCGCACAAGAGTAGCAATATCTACTTTATATATATCCTTTACAATGGGAGGAATGGGGTTACCTAATCTGAAAAACTGTTATTATGCTGCTATATTAAGTTCATGTATAATAACAAGCAATTGAATTAATCCACCCTTGTGGGTAGAAACAGAAGCCGGCTTCACAGAGACACATATTATAGCATTGTTGTCATGGTTGCCACGCACACTGAGGCCCAAATATCCACATATTCCCCCCACAACCACTTTGACTATACAAATTTGAGATAAATACAGTTTAAGAGCACAAATTTCCCCTGCTTTACCTATAGCAGCTTTTGCAGCAATAATCCCCAATCTTAAAGGGACACTATAGTCACAGGAACAACTACAGCTTATTAAATTTGTTCTGGTGAGTAGAATCATTACCTTCAGGCTTTTTGCTGTAAGCACTGTCTTTTCAGAGAAAATGCAGTGTTTACATTACAGCCTAGTGATAACTTCACTGGCCACTCCTCAGATGGCTGTTAGAGATCCTTCCTCGGTCATGGCTGCCTAAAATGCATCCAAACATTCAGTATCTCCTCCCTCTGCATGCAGACACTGAACTTTCCTCATAGAGATACATTGATTCAATTCATCTATATAAGGAGATGCTGATTGGCTAGGGCTGTGTTTGAATTGTGCTGGCTCTGCCCCTGATC